AAATGGCTAATTAATTCAATGGGCTGTCCACAAAGGTGGGTTGGCCAGGAAACATAGTTTGTATGTCATATATATATTCCACACCTACACCCACCCCCCGTGGGACCAAAGGAAATTTATTTAGGGTATTGTGCTCAGAAGTGGACCCTGCACCTCCATGGAGGGATTTCCTGGGATATTCTTCTGCTTTCCCAGACTACAAAGGGCACAAGACTGAAGGTTTCCCTTGGTGCTTGGGTCTGCTGCTTGCCCTCTATAGCCCAGGACACCAGCAGGGCACTGCTCTTTGCAGGCTTCTGAGCCAATCAAGTGTCAGGAGAAAGGTTTCTACAAAGGACACCCATTCCCCTCAGCTGCCACAGGGTAGGGGCCCAGTGCCTGTGCTCAGGGCCAGTCCCTGGAAGCAGCATGGGGAGGCTCAGGGAAGGGCAGAGGTTCCAGGAGAACACATGAGGTCTGGATTTCAGGAAGTGAGCTGGAAAGTTTCTCCCACAGACTCAACTTAATAAAAGGGGCCACCTGGGGCCAATACTCAGTGTGAAAAGCAGCTTTCAAGCTGGGAGATCTCTCAGTCAAAAGCACATCCAGCATTTCTGTTTGTTTTGGGGGGGGGATGGGCTTAAATAGGCCTGTGTCCATTAAACTTCCTGAAATGAACACCTAGACTACAGGCTGTCTAACCATCAGGCTTTAGGGGTCTATGTGGAAAGGTGGGATGTTTTCCAATGGAAGTCTTCCTAGGGGCGGAGCAGGCAGCTCACAGGGTTAGTTTGGAAAGAATGACACAGGGAGAAACAGTACTGACAGACACACAGAGTTACAGACACCAGGAACGGGAAGCCATGTGACAGAGCCTCTGGGTAAATTATGGTTGTTTCTGTGCAGATATAAAATGGGCGTTATAGGACAGCTTCAGGGGGGTCAAGAACACTTTGACTATCTCCTCCCTGGCCTCCTTGCACCTTGCCTGGTGCTCCTCAAGGAGGGGCTGTAGGACCTGCAGGAGCTCCTTCTTGACCTCCCAGGTGAGCATGGCTCCACTGCTGTAATCCTTCCTGATCTGCTCCAGCTTGTCTTCATCCTCCAGGAAGAAGGTCATGTACATGAAGGACATGTCCACATGGCAGTTTCCTCCAAACTGCCTGTGCTCCTCGATGGTGTCTCACCCTCCAGAAAAAGCATGCTTGTTGACCTTGGTCTTGATCTGGTTGTGTCTGTGAGGAAGGTGGGAGAGTTGTGGTCACTGGCATTCCTTTGAGTCTGAGTCCCCTGCAGGGAGGGGAAGAAGGTCGAGTGTAGCAGGGTGGTTTACGATAGAAGATCCTGGGTGTGACATCTCTTGTAAGGATCCTGAAGTAAGGATCCTGGTTGATGGCACAAGGGATGAGATCCTGGACGTCCATCTTGCCCCCAAAGATCTGTGGGAATGAGTTACTGAAGAAGGGAGCAGCCTGGATGGCAGGAAAGCTGATGTTCCCCTGGCAATCACTGTCTGAAAAGCCAAAAATGCCTTTCACTTGGTTGAAGTTCAGGTGCTTCTGATCTTCACCATGTACTTGTAGAAGTCTGGGCTCACCCCCATGTAGTCAAGGACAGAGAAGATGGGCTTGTTGATGTCAAAGCCGCAGGTGATGATGTCCTTGGCGTTTTCCATGGAGTAGCCATAGGCCTGGTCCAGGGTCAGGTCTTCCACAGGTACTTCTAGTCTTCTGTCATCTGGATGAGCAAGAGCACATTGAACATGTCCTGCGGCCACTTTGTGAAAATGAACAGGATGTGGTGGCCTACATGCATGGCTTCGGGAGAGGGGCCCCTGCCCATACACAGGAGAAACAGCTTCTTGCTTTCATAGGCATTGAGGACTTGGTTCATGTCTCTGTGTGAGAAGAAGGTGCATCTGTGCAGGAAGCGGTGTGTTCTCTGGCCCCTGGCTCTCTCTTCTGTTTATCAGCTCTTGGTCAATGTTACTACTTCCAAACAGAACAAGGAGCTTGTCATAGTCATTGCCTTTTGCACTGTTCCTCTGTACAGTTCAGGGGTCCACAAAATCCACTTCAGCTTCCGTGGCACCTGGGCCACTAATCCAGGTGCAAGGTTCTCTGGAAGGCAGTCGGCCTTGTAGTTCTCCCCCATGGCCACTTTGTAGCTCATTTTTAGCAATAACAGCCTCTTCACTGCAGAATCAATTTCATCCTGGGCTGCGGGGGGCACTGAAGAGGTGGACAGTGGAGTAGCTGAGATCTCTGTGCAGCTGGGCTCTTCTTTTATAGTCTTCCCCCTCTTACTGTTTCCTTTTTTAAGCCCCTTTCTTCTCTTTTCTTCCTGTTCACCCCACCCTGCAGCTATTTGCAGTAAGGATTTCTTAGAAATCAACCAGTTTCTCACAAACACTTGCGCCTCTTGACCAATTCCTCATGAGACAGTCCAATCAGGAGTTGGCTGTGAGTGTGTGTGTTTGGGGGAGGGTGGGTGTGGAGACCAATGAAACCCACTCTAAATTCAAACTATTAGCTGGTCATTGCATCATTAGCTGTTCATTAGTGTGGGGTGCCACACTGCAAGCTGGCCTCCATTTAACCTCCTCACTCACTTCCCATCTCACATCTTCAGCCTCAGTATGAGAACTGAGTTTACATTTGTCCTGATGGGAAGAAAGGCAGACTCCAAGTGCCCTGCGGCTATTGTGCACTAAGGCAATGTTGTGAAAGTTCAGTTCTGGGGTCACAGGGACCTGAATTTCCAAATACAGCCTTGGCTTTTTTAAAAAATATATTTTTATTGATTTCAGAGAAGAAGGGAGATGGAATGAGATAAAAACTTCAATGATGAGAATCACTGATCATGTGCCTACTGCACACCCCCTACTAGGGATTGAGCCCATAACCTGGGCATGTGCCCTTGACCAGAATCAAACTTGGGACCCTTAAATCTGCAGGCCAATGCTCAATCCACTAAGTCAATCCGGTAAGAGCTGGCTTTTTTCTTTTCTTTTTATTGCTGAAAGTATTATATATGTCCTTTTTTTAACCCTAGTGCCCTCTCCCAGCCCCTTACCCCCAAAGCCTTCACCACCCCATTGTCTGTGTCCATGGGTTATGCATATATGCACATGAGTTCAGTGGTTGACTTCTTCCCCCCACCACCCTCTCCTGCTTTCCCTCTGAGGGTTGCCAGTGTGTTCCATGTCTCTATGTCTCTATCCCTCTATGTCTATTTTTTCATCACTTTATGTTCTTAGTTACATTTCACATATGAGTGAGATCATGTGATATTAATCTTTATACCACTGGCTTATTTCACTTAGCATATTGTGCTCTAGCTCCACCCATGCTGTTGCAAATGGTCAGAATTCTTTCTTTTTTTCAGCTGCATAGTATTCCATTTAATAGTTGCACCACCGTGTTTTAATCCATTCATCTGCTGATGGGCACTT